ACCACATGGTGAGTGGTGTTTACATTAGACGGTAGTAAATTCCAGGGTCTTCAGTCAGTGGCACATTTGCTGCATACATATTTAAGCATGCTCTATCATGAAGAGCAGGAAAAATAAATGTAAAATTATTCTGGTAGAGTTAGCTGTACCAATCCATGAAATCGATTACTGTCCACATGAGTTATACAGGTAAGTGTTGCCTAGGTGATGTAATTAGGATACAAGAAACCATTGGCCGCGGAATCTTGATGAAACATTTTCAAATCGTTCGAAAGGATACAGATGTATTTATACTTTATCATGGCCTGATATTCCGAATATGCTGAACAATCGTTATTTAATTACTTTTCCACCTCTCTACACTTAACTCCATTCATCCTAGTATAACGTTACACCCCTTCTTTTTTACCTTAATGTTTACCAATGAAAGTTGTATCCCAAGTATTATGTCCAATCATAATCACAAAAGAACATTTGTGAATAAGTGCCCCCCTCGACCCAATAATTACTGCCAACCTACTCATTCGTAAAAGACAACAACAAATCCTAAGATTATGTCTACATTATTACTAAGGCACTTGGAAAAAACACTATGTATTCGATTCTTTGAGTTACTACTTATGAAAACCGAGGCATCTGAAGAGAAATTTATCAGACAAAACTACCGCCAAGTGAGCACACGTTCCCCCAGAACAGAACTTAAACTAGATAAAAATTACTTAGACGAACTTATTTTCACTTTACAAACTGCTGTTTCTGCAACAGTGTACTGACGGAAGTAACTGTTATCAGCCGATTCTGTGTACTTTATATATCATTAGTTATACAAGTAGAAACACTTTTGATTGTATTATGAAACAAACCAGTCCATCAATTTATTTCATACTGTAAATATCTTAGTTATTTATTTAACCTGAAAAAAAGCAGTCCACTAATCATTGCTAAATCTATAAGGTGTGCTTACACTGGTGTCACAGAATTATATCTAGATCATAACAGATATTAAGTTTGACACTAGGTTAAATAAACCATATAAATTTAGGAAACTATGCTTAACTGGTGTTATATAAAATGTATATTCATATCATTTTTTAATCCACCTAACATAACGAATCATTCGAAATATTTCACTTTTTGAAGACTACAAACCACATACAGCATAACTCTTTGTAAATCATTTTTACCACACAATTTATTCACTAGTAATAATTACTTTATTTGGCAAGAATAGTTAGTTATCTGCTTACTATATGTATTAGTACGGCGCACTATAAGAACTTACATTTTGTTTAATACAATTATGGTATTGCACATGAAGCTCAAGAGAATGTTAAAAATTCAGTTTCACCGCCAAAAATATAACAGTATGATTTCTAAACACAATGACAGTTAATGCTCTTCATTAAAAATTACTGAGAAGTCACTTATAACGACAGTCTACTGCCTTGCCATATGGAAAATAAGTAATGCAGTTTCTTCGATGTCTTCTCACTGGATTAAATGGCCAAGACCGAGAGTATATTCAAGTGTATTCCTAAACAAGATTTCACAATTAGGCATTTGTCTATTAAGAAACTTGATGTTCTGTTAGTCACTTTATCAGCATGTTTGTATTACTTCCTAATTAATGCCTACTGATAGTGAAAGTCATTAAAAAGTCTAAGAAAATATGTAACTTTAAGCGAAGGTTTATTTACTGATTTCACTTATCTCAGCTTATCTTCACGCATATGGTTAAAATCGTTTCGATATGAAGTACTACTAGAAAAGAATTCCCCATAGATCAATAATCAATCAGATAAAATCATAAATAAATAAAATGCATAGTGAGTACTCAAATTACGTGTCTATGGTTAAAGACAAATATTTAAGCGTTTCAGAAAGAAAATAATCAGAAAATCACTGACTACATTTTTAGAAGAGACAAAGTTTCAAGAACAAAGTAGGACTGAATACGAAACACACAAAGAAACCACAATTAGAAGTTCTTAACCCGGGATAGATAATTTACCATGTTGTACCAGGCTTATGACGTGAGGGTTGTGATAATACCACCTAGGCCTCCAGACTGGAGTAGGTGGAGTAACATCCTAACCCAAGATCAACTGAATTAGAGTCAAGTACCTAAGCCAATGAGCGACATCCCTGCAGAGAACCTATAAGTAGATGGAGCAGCTACCCAAGTGAATCGATTATTTTAACTAATACAACGAAAAGGTTTAGAGAACAAACCAGATTTGAAAGCAACCGAGAAGTGAACTCCTTAACCGTTTCCTTCAACTGATATAGCAAATAGGTGCAGTTTGGAAAAAAGGATAAACCTTGCTTGCAAACAAAATGGGCTTACTTTGTTAACTGCTCATCCCAGTCCCATATGCACCTGACGACTTAATAACAGCTGGGTCAAGTTGTTCACTTGCTTAGAACTTACTTTAATCATGTTCACCCATTAAATAGAACCGATATTCTGTCTACCCTTTCGAACGCAATCAAGCTAAAAGACAATATTCCCATTAACAACAAGTGAATAATATATCAACCCTTACAGTCTTACTTACTTCCAAGAGCCCTAATAATCATATTTTGCGGATACCGTAAAATAATACGCTTACTTTAAGGATCGAAATTGTGACAGAATCGAAATTAACCACCCATCATCAACACAAATGGATCAGGAACACAATTTATGATAACACCATACCAATTCTCTTTTTTATACACGTACTAAGGTCATGAAAGAAAAGATATAACAAGATTGAAGATTTAATCGTGCAGTACTGAATAAATGCAAACACTTTAGAAAATGTAATTCAATTTGAAAAATTCACAGAACTATCTAAGTCATCTCTTGTGCCCGAGTTGACTTGTCAGCTCGTTACATTAAATACACAGAAAACTAACGTCTCTATAACTTGTTATGCACACTGACACTACTTCATAGATTCTTCTTAAACTAAACTACAGGAGTACCCGTTCACTCGCTTACTTGTCAGGGCAACTAATTTGGTAAATCCATCTGGCATGTAGAAACAATAATGTGGCCAACCATCTAGTTTCATCCAATAAAACGTGTTGAGTTTGACAGTTGATACCCCAACAATTTCCAGTTGGTTTATTAGGATTAAATTTGTTTCTACGTGTTTGACCCCAACAATTATCCCGCCTAAATCTCAATTCTGCCTAACAACCTCAACCAAGTACTATGAAAATGTAAGGAATTCGGCTTATAAGAGATACTTTAGTGACTTTTTACAGTTCATTGGTATCAAGTATGCGTGGTAAGTAGATTATTGCAGTTTTATAGTCATAAAATACCTATGATCCAAACTTACTGGATAAAGGCCAATTAGACTATTTAAACGACTACGCTGAGGTAGGTAGGATCAGATTCAAATCTGAGCCCAATGACTAGCAGTACACACCAGAATGTGGAGACAAGATAGAATATTTTCTCAGATTGTATTCAAGAGCGAAAAACCGTTGTAAAATAAAGTTAGTGAAAAGTTTCACTAATGCTAAAGTGAATTTATCTGAAAAGGACTACTAATTTTATCATTGTTGTTTGCAAATACAATCTGCTAGTACATTTCAAGCACGAATTTGGGACCAGATGAAGAATTAAGTTAACAGCCACGTATTTCTAGTTGGACTACGACACAGAATATGAACAATATAAAAAAGCATAACATTGGAAAAGATGAATTATTTTTCCTACTTTAAAGAACTCCAGTGAAAACACCCGATAAAATCCCACTGTTCTACCGTCAGTTACTAGAAAAACAGAACAAATCAATTTCTTTAATAATGTTGGTAACTGGAAATAAGACAAATAAGACAAATATATCATTCTACAAATTTATTTAATATTTTTGTTAGAATCACTACTTTTTGAATAATTTTCACGAAATAAACGATCTCCATGCCTTCTTTGCATTTCCATCCCGACGATCCTCATGGAATCCATTCATCTATTTGGTTGATTTACATACTTTGAATATTCTAGTATGAAACGACAACTTTTCAGATTTCAAAAAACCTATGATAAAATCTATAATTTCACTGAAATGTGAATTGCGGAAAGGGATTGATCAGAAGATTCCTACTGTGGCATAAATTATATCGAAATAAAGAACGAACATTAAGACTACAGCATGAATTTAATACCAAATAAGTGAGAAAATTTTTCCAAACATATTCTAAATTTACAGTAAAACGAAAAAAATTCATTATAAATTGAGCGATTGCACTATAAAACCTAAGAAACACCCTCTCTGAAAATTAACCCATAGATGCAGATAAGCCACTTCGAAAACAGTTATGCACAAGACTCAAAATGTTGTTTCCGAACTGGCTATCTTGTAACAAAACAAATAAGGTGCGTCTGTATCACTAACCTACCATAAAATATTACAAACTAATTTTTACCCATCTTAAAGATTTACAGCCGACGTATTAATTATCATTGTAAGTTTTTTTCATAGAAATAAGTATAAAGACAGCAAATCACATATACCAGTACTAATGCATACAAAATTTAAAAGTTTTCGGTTATTAGTCACCCGTGAATATCTGCCTCGCACTAAGAAAAATATGTCAGTGAAAGTATCAGAATTACTGCTTACTTTACATCAAATGCTTTGCCTACTAAATATAAGCTTATCATGGTCTTTGACTCCAGCAAACTAGCAAATACAATAATTACAATAATAAAAATAATGAACACTTTACAGTACAATTAGGATTTTGACTTTTAGTGTAAATGAATCGTATAAACATGACTTGAAAACATATTCTCAGCTCGAAAAAACGTTTGTACAGCAAATAAATGGTTAACAAATGCATTATTTTTAGACAAAACAACGTACTTCGAACGAAAACTCTTGTTTACGTATCAACTAAGTGATGAAAAGATGAGAGAAGAATGGAATTAAAGTGTTTATATACAAAAATATAGGCAAGGAAAAATCCACTATATAGTGGGTTAGTTCATGAAAACTCACTTCGACTTTTATACGAACAGACAGAACCAGTAGTAGAAGATGATCGATATCTATGTCTATGCGAATGCTTTCTTTTTCTATGCTTCTTGCGTACATAACAACTTCCACCACTACATGAACTGCCAGAACGATGTTTGTGTGACTTCCGTCTGGATCTTGAATGCCCATGAACTGATCTATCGTAATGACATGGGCTTTCATGTCTATGTTTGTCATAGGAACGACCAAATCGTGAACCGGAGTAGCTACGACTCTGTCTTCGTCTACGATGTCCAACCTCACTGCTTGTCGACCGACTGTGTCTTGACATCGTTCTCGAATGGCAGCTACAATCATCCTTTTTCTTTTCCCTATGATGTTGTTCTTGTATTTTCTTTATTCACCGTCCCCAGTAAGTATTTTCCGAAAGCAAAAAGTAATGAAAAGAAAAGAGTATGTGAGTAAAAAGATCGACAAAAAACGTTAAACGTTGGTTTTGTTCCAGTGGATTTGATTGTTTCTTGTACAATTGTATCTCCACTGATGACTCCATGACTCGATAAATACTGACCTGAAATAATTAAAGAGAATAAGCTGATACATTACAAGAAAATTTTACAAAATTTTCAACGTTTTGTTTTAAATAAGTAGATGTATGAAAGTAAATTGCTTTAGGATTCATGGATGAAACTTCTTACCTTTAATAAATGGGCATACACTGGGTGCGAGAATTCTTTAAATTTGGTATTCATAGAATCGTCTTCTGATGCTGTATAATTAGTGTATTCACCAGTTTCAGAGTTATATTTGTAATACGCCCCAGACTTAGGTTCATAGAATAACTGATTTTCCTATATATCATTAATAATGAAATTGTAAATATCCGACATACTGGATCATAATAGTAACCGCTTTTGTGATCATAATACAAACCAGTACGCTCATCAAATGTATACCCCGTACTGCGTACAACTGCGTCAGATGTCTCTTTGAGCATACTAGCTATGGCAGTGCCTAAGGAGAGACATGAACTTCTGTTAGAGGACCGCACCATAAGCTTTTGGCTCCGATGTACTAAGACCATCAGGAACAGTTGCTTTGACAGTGTCTTCATTTGTGCTATTTTGAAGACCACCTGACAGCAGACGACGTTCCAAATCTGTATTTTTATCCATCAAGTTCTGTATAAATGCATCTTTTTCCTCCAGCTCCTTTTTCAAAATATGGATCTCCGTTTCGAGTTCACTTAGTTTTTCGAAGACATCAAATTCCATCTTCTATATCCTTCAAGAAAAACAATTATACCAATATTTAACTGAAGGAATTTTTTAATCACAGGAATACATATAAATTAAGATGGTCCTGAGAAAGGCGCCCATACATCGTTTTAAAATGTCACTTTTTGAGAAAACAGACTGGTTTTCTACAGTTTGGTTTGAAAGGGTTAGTTATGTTTATACGATTTCGAATCCCAGTGGGTGCGTACTGCCGATGATTCCCAAACCAGGATGAAACAGCAGCTGTCCAGTACTCCCTGGTTTCCAATGGTTCTCTAACTGATATCAATCCGTGATCAACTCGTAAAAACAGACTGGGCAAGATCAATAAAAAAGCCACTTGATATCTTCAATCTAAGGTTGCAGGAGAATTCGGTTCAGAAAGCTAGACATTCTTACAAGAAACTATCCCACTATCAAATCTGTTGAAGTAAAACGATGCGCTAGATAGACAGTAACTGGTATAAGTATAAAACTTAAGCAGTGGTAGAGTATAACTCCATTATTTATTTGAAATCTTATCCATAAGGGAGTTATACGTAACTGGCCTTCGTGTGTCACTACTTACAAAAGAAACTCTGAAAATTCCATTTTGCTGACAAGCTACGTGATTTAATAGTACTTATTCCGTTCGTTTAGTCGATGCCGACACTATTAGTACATTCTAAATTAGAGCTTCTGTATTAGGTATTGGCAACAGACAAATCTCCCAGTAGATTTAGAGGAATTGACTAGCTCTGTGTTAGTATCAGTAAGAGTTTATTCTTGATGGACTTTCCACCCAACCACAATAAAAATGACATTTTAGGTTTTGCGTTTACTTTCAATTCGATCGTGAAAGTAAGTGACAAGTTCTGGTTGATCCGTGGAATTATATATTTTTTAGAAATAGAGCTAAGGTACATGCTTTTTGATGAAGTCCAAGGAAGTTCTAGATTCACCACTAAAAATAGATTTGACAGACCTAACCTTTATGACAACTTGAACTGCTGCGCTTTTGTACAGAGCTCTACGTTGAAAACTCAGTAGGTACACCATAAATTTCTTAAAACAATAGGTGTATAACACTAAAAACAGATACTACGAGACTTAATGCAAAGCAAATCACTAATACACAACTTTAGCATTAGTGTGGCTAGTTAGTGAAATATCTGAAAGATGTAGTCCGATAGTATTAGGGCATGAGAAAAAGGTTCACGGAACGTAAGCGTGGCAATTTAAGAAAACAAGAGGTGTAGGTAAAACTGTCAGATAATGAATGGGAACCAAGTGAGTGTACTACTCATGTGATGCATATAGTGAGGGAAAATGTCTACACAGAACTCAAAACCACTCACATATGTTGTAAAAAGCGTGTGATAATTATACAGTGGCCAACAACAGATAGTACGGCCTGCAATATGTCTCTGAATAGTGGTGGAACTCCATAGGGATAATTGGAGACATGCCTAAGCTCAGGTATATATGCACGCATACAATCTTACAACGTCATGCGAACGATTTACATCGCGTACAGTGAAATTTAAGACTGGAGGAAAGTATAAAAACCAGAATAGGATCCCAAAATGCCCGAAACAAAAATTCCCTTCCTCATGGATTCTTGGTAGAAACTAAAGCATACGGACTCATACTAACAAAAACATATGACCACGAAAAGAATGAATCCGCCCAGTTCTAAAGACATTAGTATCAGAAATGAATAATCATTTATTTGGCGAAGTTTAAGAATAGGGTCCCAAAACCTTCAACGCTCAAATGACCTTGAACGCATGCTAGTCGTTGGCTAACGGTTCCGGTCATTATCATAGCTGAAATATCAACCCTATTCATCAAATAAGGAGCAAGTTTCACCCAGATAACACTTTTATTACTGTTTGGACAATGTGTTAACATCTCGTTAGGGTTAGGATAGGGGTTAAGGCGAGTATTGTGGTTAGGGTTAGGGTTATGGTTCAGGGGTTAGGGTTTAGGGTTAGGGTAGCGATTAGGAATAGATTTTTCGTTTATTTCAAGTTCTTTTGTTATCCTTATTTCCCTTGTATGTAGTCGCCAATGCTCTTACTGGAACCATAGTAACTAAACCGAGGGCTGAGGAGAGGACTACACAGCAAGAGAAGAGAGATGAACCATTCCCAAAACAGCACACCTTCAGTCTCTTTGGTGAATACATCTACAGAAACTAGTCCAAATTAGCAACTGATACTCTTCATCGCAACTGGAACGTATTTTTAAGTCATATCAGAGAAATATAATCCGTTTAATGTTTTTTTCATGCATTTTTGTGTAAATATACGTTAAATTTTATGCAAAATTCCTCCTATTTTCTTATTGGTCGGCTCAAGGTCATTGTGCGTTCGCATCTCTTGGGACTCCATTCTTAAACTTTGCCATTTATTTTTCAGATTTACAGGCTAAATTAATACACAACACTCCTAATGAGGTAAAAAATACGACTTAGAACAAGTAGAATACTACCAAAACTTAGCCACAACAGAGACAGCCGTTGATAAGACTTAACGCAGATATTTTACGTCAAACTTGCCTAACTATGTGGCAAGCATACAAGTAGTGTCTCCATTGAATAAAAGTCGTCTTCGCAATACACATACCATCTCAATGTTGGATATTATGTGTTCAACTAAAATGAGTGCCTCGCACTTCAATAACTGCTAGTAGAAATGATTAATTCTTTGAATACTGACGTATTCAGTGTGTTGCGCATCACATTGACAGCGTCAGTCAAAAGTACTTTGATTTTGAGAAAAGACAGTTAAACACGTTTACAAATATCAGACTTGGATACGAAAAACCTACTTAAAGCAGTTAGTTTCTGACTACACTGCGCAAATTGTAATCGAAAGGGAACCAACAACCAGACTGTCAGATGGCGATGCCAACCGCCGCAATTCAAAAACGGTATCACCAATTGATTCAAACAAGCAAATAACACTGTGCACATTTTTTGTTTGCTATATATCCCTTCACAGTGTATGGTATAGTGAGTCGTTTTAAAGTTTTAATTTTTAACAGAGAAATGGACAATATATGCATGAAGATGTACACACAGAAAACCATTCAATGGTGTTTCAAAAATGTAAGTAAGGTGACTGCCAAGTTTTCTTCCCCCAACTAAATATTCCTTCTCACCATTTGAAAGAATAAAAATCCTTGAAAATGAACAGCTAGGGATCAAGTCGTAAAAACGAATCAGTTGGGAGGCTGTGGCGCAAATTAAATCCATGAATGAGGAACTGACAGGTGTGACAGAACATCCTTCACTATCCCGGTGGGCGTGAGGAGCTATATGAGCCCGCCTAAGCAACCTAATCGTGTGTGACTCTCGCGATACATCCTGTTGTTCATGCTGGCTCCATTTGTCCTAGCTTTGTAAGCGTCAATCATGATATAAAGCATTTAGGACTACTAAATGTTTGCTCTTATCCTGTTTTTATAACTATTATAAATCCTAGATGAATAAATACAAGAGGGTTTCAGAAGAACGAGCACTTACTGTAGTCATTACTGTACTATTCATATGCCGTAAAATGCATACAATTTGCAAAAAAATGACTTCATGTTCAACTGTAGTAAACCGATGTATTTTATAAAGTGCTTATAATTGATTGGATAAGGAGAGAGAAATTTTATGCCACGATTTTAGGGTCTGACCTTATCTAATTTCAGGTGGTGATGGAAAACTGTTTAACTGTAAGGGGAGGTTAATCACAAATTCACTTCATTCACATAATATATATGCGAGTGAAAAACACATGCCTGTATTTTTCAAAAAAATATGTTCATAGAGAAAAACGTACCTCTGTACACTGTGTAATATTGTAAGGATCAAAAGAAGTTTTTTAACTCGGTTGAATCTCAGCTATTTCACCGTCAATAGTCAGTTCATTTATTCATGCTGTTTGCAACCCGAGGTGGTGAATTTAATTGTCATGAGACAAGAGCTCAGCGGCTTAATTGTGGTGTGATTATCCACTTATGCACTCTCTTCAAATCGCTGTCAACAAACACATCTTTCAGCAACCGTAAGTTCTTTATTCAGCCTTTGCTAGCAGAGGCGGTTTTAAGGGTAGCTTGGCTACCGGGTTCGGTGGGCCAGGCTAGGGAACAGTTGACAGTGGGCTATGGCTCAGGTCTAAAAGGACTGCTAACGACACTGCAACCATGGTTGTTATTTCTAGCTGAAGCCAGCTGGAAGCGATCTCGAGTCTGTGCAAGCAGCCAAACCAATCGGCCTCCTATAATATATTTATGTTAATATTTTATGGGTCTTCTGTTGCTTTAACAGGCTCCACACTGACAATAAATCATTGGCTTATGGACTGGACCTTGGGTCATTGGGTCTGGTGTTTGAGTCCCACTTCGTCTACTTCTGTCTGTAATGCTGGGTAGTATCATTACTCTCTGCACAATAGGGGTAACTTAAACTCTGGCACCAGATAACTGACATTTAAGTGAATAACACAATGGTGCAACAATGGATTTATAACGCTGAGATTCACTATAATTTGTTAATAAGGTCAGGCTACTGGCAGCAGCACACTTTTATAACTATAACTGTCTGCATGCACTCAGGTGCCTCAGTTGGCGCCGACAGTTTTTATTCGGTAGGTATAAGTGTCACCTTCCCGTCTAACTTCCTAAGAATGCCTCGTGTCAGTTGAATTAATTTTTGCGGGAGATGATTGGTTGTCTAAGTGTAATTACCGTCTATATCCAACTTCTACCGATATAACACTAAATCGGAGCCAAAATAAAACAAATCGACTTGACTTTCCAGCAAGAAGTTTATATTTCGATATCGGTATCATCAAACCAAGACATTAGTTTGACAAACAAATGACCATTGACTGATCACCAAGTGAAAATACGTGGTCATAAGATAACCCGGTCGACTATCTTTAGTTTATGATTCCGAGTGAAGCAAAGTATCAGTGGTCGATTCATTCTGACTTGCGTAAAACTTCTAATCCTTCTTCAGCTAATTGGTGACCAGCATTCTACTGGAGACGTTGTGTAATATCCCCTCTAATTGTGGCGCCGTAGTCCTTTGTTATGTTGGTTTAATGGCAGGAGTCATTCTTTATATGCTCTTTAGGTGAAATAGTGCAGTGAAAATTTTTACTGACGTACACAATATTGGCGGCGCTACAGTTGCCTCACCCTGTATCGGATAATACCCTTTGATACCGGTAACCACACCACGTAATTGATTAAAGGAAATTTACAAAGGCAAAGATAGTAACAAAAGAAAATAACATATTTTCTGGATAATTGTTGATACGTCCATGGTCACGACTATTTTGAGGCAATTCATATGTAATAAAGTATCAAAAGAAGATGTGTTTTACGTCAGTTAACAACTTTGATTGAAAGTAGTGGATATCGCAAATGTTCGTAAACCATCATTTAACTTCCGTCCGAATATGTGCATTGGTTTTGCTTATATCGGTGGATTCCATGGACGTTTGGCAGCGTGAATTCGAGCGCAGATCTTATTTTTAGGTTCCCTTTCTATAAATAGATCGATGGTATTAGCTTCCTGGAAGTAGGTGTGGCTGAATACAAACTACAACCGAGCTGCAAAGGAATCATGTCTCATTCAATTACGGGAATGTACACGGAGTATACTCGGTATACCAGACAATTATTGCATGAAACATATGTCAGACATCGATTTTTAAAGAAGTCATTCAAACAAAACCAAATAAACATAAAGATCACATCAAGTAAAGCTGCCTGAAACAAGCAAAGCAAACAGCCCCTATCATAATCAACCGTATCCACCAAATACAGAAGGGCGCACCACTTCGAAAGGGGATATTACAAATAATCGTCCACATTCCATTATATAACTGACCATCAACCATAATTATAGACGTCATAACCTGACGTCTGTCTGTTTGTGTAAGTCGAATGCCCACTGTGAAGCGCAGTTTCGTCTGCTTCAGAAATGTGATATGTCTGTGTCATTCAAAAATTGGTTCTATATCCATTATTCACCTGTGCATACATACTTATCCTATGGTCAGCACCTACATGTCCAGTGTTCTCATAAAGCACAGACGTAAGGTTGAGTATCTGAGCTGCACTTGTTTGGTTTTCACTCTGCAGCCCCGTTTCATACAACTTCGGTTCCTCGTTATGTAAATGTATCTTTGTCACGAGTCATTTGAGAGTTTCTTAGATTTTCTAGCAGCAGCTTCAAAACAGAGGTCCGTAATGAGACCTGCTTTGTGATATCTGTTAAAGTGACTGCAGCAAATGAATGTAAAAGGTAATAGTTAGGCCCAGTACATCTTATTTTTAAGCTCAGTGGGCTAACAGAAGTCAGAACATATTGTTGTAAGACGAGTCAACCTCACAAACTGTTCCTCAGCAGAAAACTAAAGGTGTTTGATCAAAAATCAGCTATCATGTCACTGTCCCCAGATATATGAAGAAAACTTGCGAAGCGTGGCAGAAAAATCCAGGTTCTTTCGATTTGGATGCGGGAACCTAATGAAGGAATTAATCTCAGTGAAAAGTTTGAGCATTGTGAAAAAGATAAAATAAACTATAATTACATTCCGGTAGTTTACACACAGTGGTAAGTTTTTGTTTTGGTGGTATCTTGAGCAAAACTACTGTCCAAGATCACACCAAGTTAAAACGATTCATGAGGTAAAACGGGTTCTTAAGCACGGTTCACCAAACTTCTGCGAGTCAAAGATAAGCAAAAATTATGTTTTCGCATTATTAGAAAACTTTTTCAAGCGACAAAATCGATAGTGCCATTAAACAATAAGTTACATCACGAATGCAAAGCTGCCTAAGCAGTACCGTTGGGTAACTCCAGAGTTCAATGGCTTATCCCGTTCAGAGAAAGTGCTACATAGAGAAAAGCCAGGTAAAAACACGACTATCAGATACTTCACAGTCTACTAGAGTATTACCAATGAAATGCGATCAAAAGTTTGTCCGTCGCGACCTAGTAGGGCAGTAAACGTTTGGGGAAGAAGATCAACACGCAAGCAATGTCTTCACTTGCAACCTTTTGTTCACTGAAGGAAAATGCCGACAATAGTAAAGCAATGACGAATCGTCACATAATAGCAGGGTTTGAGAGTAAATAGCAAAAACCAATCACAGAAGACTATCAGTAATATGGATCAGGTCAAGAGAATACGAAATGCCAATAACGATACCGAGGATTATTGGTGCATTCAGAAGATAAGAATCCAGAACTCAGACTGCTGGTTAGGTACTTCAGGGTGACTGATAACAAAAACAAACCGGAACGTTGAAGACTTGTCGCTCAACCAACAACGAGCCAATATAGCTAATTGAACTACACAGCAGTTCGACCACCAGGTTCACAGTTGGTTAATCTAAACACACTAAAAATGGTCTACAAATAAAAGTAATCATAGTATTCATTCCGATCCTATTCCTCTGGCTGTCTACCAACCAGCAAGTGTTGAGGCCAAGGCAGGGATTTTCCCCCAAAGAAAATGAAAATAGTTCGAATTGACAGGGACAAAGGGTATTCCTCCAATTTTTACCAACAATGACATCAATATATGTTAATATGATAGTGCACAGGCTTTGAAGTAGGTACTAGTATTTGCCATATTAATGGTAGTACTCAGACGAGTATCGGCGACATCGAACAGCCGACAAGAGAAGGGTTTACAAATCATGAATTCTGCTACACTCGTCACCATAGCCCTTGAAGACGAGTTAAGATATCTCCACATGCATTTAGCCATGGCCCTGACTATATATATTTTGGTTACAAACGTACAACAGCATGTCAAGGTTCACAGTTTTGACTGCATCATCTCCCTCAAGGAGACAAAATACTCCGAACATCTTTTATAAACATTCCTACGATTCTTGATGGAATGTATTTCTCCC